CATGAATTTAAAATTAGGCATCAAGAGAATGAGAATGGTGGTTCAATTTAGGATTTCTCAACCTTGACACTATTCTCTGGGGGTTTATTTTTATACAAGTCATGTAGCTGGTGATTGCTATTTTCAAGTTCTAAAAGGAGCAACTTGCTTCTTTCACCTCTACGTTCTGTCTTACCATTCCCTCCAGCCCCAAAGATTCAGACCTTCTTATGATTGATGTTTTTTGGAAAGAGTTTGGAAAATGAATTTCAGGTCTGTTTTGTGGTGCAAATCACTCAGCCTTTGGGGGTTTATAATGCCTTGGTTAATAAGGATTCTGGAGATTTTACCCTGAGGTCTGTGTGGAGTTCAAAAATAAAAAGCAGAACAACTCAGCCAAGATGTATTTAACTTTTAAAACAACCATTAGGTTTTGCACTTAAAATTTTAAATTCCCTTTTATATTTCTTAAGAGGTAATGAATAGCTTCCATTTGAGAGAATGAACATCCTGAAAGAGTCCAGAGTGACAAAATCTCATTTTATATCTATTAATTTTTCAGCAAGTTCATGATTTCTCCATTGATGAGACTAAATGGTTTTTTTTTTTTTTAAATGGCATTGGTCAACATTATAACTAACTTTGTGATGAAAAATATCCTTCCTACATATCACATCTTCAGCCTCCCGCACCTGCTGAATTCATTTTCCCCGCCACTGCTTGTTCTTGTAAGTGATCTCTGTGATTCAGCTTTGAGTGAAAGAATTGCTCATTTTCACTCTGTGATAATTATTGTGTAAGGTTTCGATTGTTCTGTACAAACGAGAGCAAATTACCCATCAGCGATGAGGATAATGGGTAGCAGCGCTTTCATCTCCCTCATCCGCCCTCATCAGCCCTCCCCTGCTTCACGCTCTGTAGATGGAGAATAATCTTTCTAAGCCTTTCGCTGAGTTGAGGTTTCACGTTGCTATGGACTATGCAGTGGGAGCTACTAGTGGCATAATCTTTTCTTATATTCAAATGAAAGGATGATTTATTGATTTTCTTTCACAACATTGTAGAATTAGAATTGTGTAGAGTTTCTTCCAGCCTCTGTGGTTGACAGTTCATGCTTCTTTATATTTGCAACTTACAGTGAATTCAAATGAAGTGTCTAAATGCTTGCATCTGAAAAGAGAATGTATGACAACGTTAAATAGCTTCCTAAGTTTTACAATGGAGAGTGTAAGAGACCAGTCTTACTTGCTTTCCAGAAAAACCGCCATTTTGCAGGTGTTACTAGAAAGCAATCTGTTGAGAGGGTCCCTTAGACTTAATTACTAACATAAATTACTGGTTTGGTTTACTTTGTGCCCGGAAAAGAGCTATTTATGAAATATCTTCTGTTTGTTATTTAAGTTTTAATGAAACACCATTATTTTGAATCCTTGTTAATCCCACCTTGACAGTGTGGGATTACTCTCCTCAAGTGTAGTCACCGTAACTCTCCCACCGCCAAAGCATCCAGAGTCCTCCACCATCGTCCATTGTGCTCCTTCCCTATGAAAAGTTTGGTCCTGGGTTTCAGCACCAAAATGAAAGTTTTGGCACAGTTAGGCGCAGTTAAGAGATAGAGACCCAGTTCTCTGACAGGCAGAAACTTTATTGTGCTCCATGGTCAGAGAAGTCACAGCTGCTGGGGAACACGGATAAGCTTTTACAAGGCATAGAAGCTGCTTTTCAGAAACTGATTCATAAACACTGCTTATCAGTTCCCGGAATGAAGGCAGTTCCCAGTCTTCAGGAGGCCCAAGGTTAGGAGGCTCCTGGTATGCACACAGTAATGGCCCCGAATTCAAGGTCCCTACCCCCAGCCTTTCCTGGCCAGCTGGACTTCACACCCTGCTCTCTCTCACTCCTTCCTTCTCTGGATGCCTCAGATCCAAAGTCAGCTTTCAAGCACTGGTTTTAAAGTTAGGCTTCTATGCTTTGTGTGGTTTCTCTGTATTCTATGTATAAATGGCACCGTTCTGTTGAAATATATACTTTCAAGATTTATTTTTATTTATTTATGCATACAAGAACTGGGGTGTACTACAGAGGGGTGTGGGGGGGGGCGGGGAGGGTGTTAGCTGATTCACCAGAGACAGAGTGGAGAACAGAACAGGTGGATCTACTGAAATACACTGCTGAGGGGAGCAGAGGGGAGACAGGAGAGGTCTGCTGCACCTTGCAGTCCAGCTCCCTGGCTGGGGATTGAACTCATGCTGCAGTGGCTAGTGATGGTAGCTTGATAATGCTGAGACTTTTAACTCCTGAGTCACCAGGGAGGCCCCTGAGATATTTGCTTAAAGTGGTTTCAGAACTTGTAAGTCCCACTTTGTGTCCCCCCTCCTCCCCCGCCCCCAGAAAGGCTGTGCCACTTAGAGCTGAAAAGTCAATTTACTTCTCTGTTATTTCTAACAATTAGCTGTGTGCATTGCCACTACATATAATTATAATCTCTAACTGTAGCTTCAAGCTAAAGTACCCTCTCTTTCTGCTCTGCTTCTAATGACCTTGTATTTCATTCTGTAAAGTAAACATTACCCATGGAAGAACATGTGAGATACCAGGACAGCAGTGCTCATCAGTTACTTTTTAAAAATTTCTTTTTCATGTTAATCAGCTGATGAAACTGGAGGACATATGAAGACTACCTCCTTTGTAGTGTCTTCAGTGGAATATTATTGATAGATTTTTAAAAATAATATTTGGTTGAACTTTAATGAAGGTACCTCATTATATTTCAGCATCCCCAACACAGGTTGACAGTTCATAGTGTTGTTTTATTGGAATTTCAGTTAAATAAAATCTGTATTACTTCAGTCAGCTGTTCAACCTCCCCGAACTTCAGCCCCTTCATGAGATGTGTTTCCTACTCCCTGGGGTCATGGGAGCACCCCAATATACGATCTAGGTGAAGTTTCCACCTCAATGCCTAGAAGAGAGTCATGTGCTAAAAAATTTTCATTCTTTTCTTTCTGAAACTGCTGATGTGTGTGTGTGTGTGTGTATACACACACACATTTAGGATTCTTTTATTTGTAATCCCAACTTTCAGGGAAAAAAGAGGAATCAAGACAGAGTCATGACTCAGAAATGTCTGTGTCATTTCAGCAATCTGGTAGTGGGTACTGGTAACCTCCTGGGTAACTTCCTATTGATTTCACTTATTTGTTTCAGTCACTTGATGAATTTCCAGGCTTAGATGCTTTTCCACAGTCACCTATGAATCCATGGCTGGTAGAAGCCTGTAAACTACTCATCCATTTGTAAAACAAGCAACCAGCCCTGGTGCCCAAAGACTCGGACCTTCAAACAGCAACTGGGACATTCCCATGGTAGCAAGAGCATAGTCAAACATTGTGGAAAGTAGTCATCTCGTTAATTTCTCCCTGTACGTGCAATCTGCGGCGAGTCACTGAGGGAGAGACAGCCTGATGCCTGAGAATTATAATACAGCCCATAGCACAGCATTGTCTTCCTTGGGTATGCTATTAATCTTCTACTAGAGATGTGGGAGCTGCTGGTGTGGCTTCAGTGGAATGAATAGAGATGAAGGAAGCACTTTGCAAAAGGACTTCTGATGAATTCTAAGCTAAAGCCACTTGCTTTGTGAATGTTTGAAATGCAGTTTACCTGTTGCCTTAAGTGTGGGTATATCCATTATTATCATCTCTCCTACCTCATGGAAGCTGGGTTACAAAATGAGTCAGATCTTATAGTTATTTGATGTAGAAATAGCATTGACCACTTAAGCTATGTTAAAGTGATGTATTTTGCCAGAGTTGAAATGGTTGACTTGCCTGTGTACAGTAAAAGAATAGGATCAGTCATTTTGGTGCTTAGAACTGACTATAGCGTAGTGGGATGAATAAAGGAGAATGCTGTTCTTACATGGTTTTTCCAACAATAAAAAGAGTAATTAAATATTACTGCACACTGTTCACACTCCGTTCATTGCCAACTATTGATTTTGTGCTTGCCTGCTCCCTTCTTTTCTTTTCTTTTATCTAATGGAAGCAATGACCTTGCATAACCTTCAGTTTGTCGATAAGAAAAATGCATCCTATCTATAGGTATTTGTGTGAAAATATATTTTGATTAGATAAGGCATGTTGGAAGGAAGCTATTATACCTTTCAAATGAACACCATGACCATTTAAAAAACTAACCAAATCTGTCCCACAGGCATATGTTAACTTCTCTCAGTTTCTTTATCCCTTGTTAATAGATGAACTGTTTTAGGGATAAGTCTCACCCAAATTAGTAGCAGGAGTCTTGGTTACACACGCAGCCCCATTTCATTTTGTTTAATCTGTTGTGTAAATATAAGGGGAGTGGGGGTCCCACTGCCTCTCAGATCTTCCTCCAGTCACTTGCTTGATTTTTGAGTCAGTCTGTACTCAGAATAGATGTCCTATTTCCTGACAGGTTTTATCATTATCATCTTGAAGCACATGTAGGGAGGTTCCTGGCCCACCGAGAAGCTCCGTTATCTATGAAGAGTGACTGATTAAGTTATGTTTAAAGCATATTAAGTGCCAACAACAAACCAACTAGGGTTTGTTGGGGTTGTAATTAGTTCTGGTCAGAGGGGAGAGTGTGTATGATGGCAGAAGGTTAGCATGGCTGGTATCACTCTTGTGTCAAGCAAGATGAAGGAGGTAGTCCTGTGGGTTGGGATGACCAATAGCTTTGAAGCTGTCCATCAACCTTCTTAAGCCTGGAACTAAGTACAGGACAGAAGCTTTGTGATTTACTGACCAAACTACTAAACTTTCTTTATGAGGGTGAAGGCTTCTCAAGATACAATTAACCTGTAGATTCACAAGATGTTCAAGGGCAAGCTGATCTGTGCCAAAGAAGCCGGGAAGACCAGAGCGAGCTCCCCACCCATCAGCAAGAATATATAAAAGCTCAGGAACCAGAGCGAGATGACATTCACAGCCAGGAGCCAACTTCAGCCAGTGACCTGCTGCTCTCTGTCCGACACCATGTCCTACAACTGCTCCACAAGAAACTACTCTTCCAGGTCAGGAGGACGCTGCACTGTTCCCGTGACCACCGTGGCCACCACATCTCCTCAGGATGCTGAAGGCCTGGGAGGCATATATTTGCCCAGTTCCTTCCAGACGGGCTCCTGGCTCCTGGAACACTGTGAGGAGACCAGCTGTGAGCCCAGTGCTTGCCAGCCAACTTGTTACTCGCAAACGTCTTGCGCCCCCAGCCCCGGCCAGGTGACCTACTCTAGACAAACCACCTGTGTCTCCAATCCTTGCTCAACTTCCTTCAACCGGCCAATCACCTTCGTCTCTAGTGGTTGTCAGTCCTCGGGTGGCATCGCCAATCAGTGCCAACCAATGGGAGGCATCTCTACTGTCTGCCGACCAATGGGAGGAGCTGCCTCTGGCTGTCAATCAATGGGCGGGATCTCCTCTGTGTGCCGACCGGTGGGTGGAATCTCCTCTACTTGCCAGCCAGCGTGCGGGGTCTCCAGGATGTACCAGCGGTCCAGCATGTCGAGTTGCCGAAGAACTTGCTGAGTGTGTAGGAGCCAGTGAAGGAATCCAGACTCCATGACCTGCCAGCTGTATTTCCAGGATCTCCCAGCAAGCTGCCTGCCCTGCAAAAGCTCTTCAGCGCTGACCCCTGTTCTACTGCCGGATGGCTGACTCACCCAGCACAGGCTGCCTCGGGCCATCTTTAAGATGCTTCTGGCCGGCACCCAGCTGATTTTAAGGACTGACCACTGGTGGCGCACACGCCTCTTTATGTTTCCAGTCAATTTACCGCCTGTGCTCCAGTTTCTAAGGGTTTTGGCGTGTTTTGATCTTGCTGTTGTATCTCCTGGTTTCTGCTTTGGTGCTTCTGAAAAAGGGAGCTTGTCTCTGTATTTCTCAATAAACCTGCATTCCTTGGCATTGCAAATTTGTGTCTCGATAGTCTTTTTTTTCCAGTCTGGGAATCACCCTCCCCTGACCAGGGTCTGATTTTTCTTCTCTAAGCATGGAGCTGGTGGCCCGGTGTGGCGTCTTGACAAGCAAAGAAAGTGTTTCTGATGCATCTGGTTGGATAGTCTTTGCACGTGTTGTGAAGTAGAGAGACTTGTCCTGGAGAGTCTTTGCACGTGCTGTGAAGTAGAGAGACTTGTCCTCTCTAGTTCCTCCACTTGTTATGGGTCCACAGAATACTTCCCATGTAGGTAAAAATACAACTTACCTGGGAAAGAAGGTAGCTGGGAGAATAGTAGAGAGAAGGGGCAAAGGAGTCAGTTGGGGCATGTATTTTACTTCCTCAGAAGACTACAGTGGACAAGATGGAGGCAGGACGAGGAAGGATGGGAAATCAGTTTCCTGGTCCTGAGATCCATGCTGCAGAAAGGCGACTCCAATTCTGAGTAGAAGGAATCTCTTCCTCTTAGGAAATCAGGGCAGGAGAGACTTAAAAACAAGCCTCAAAGGCATGTTGCTTATTTAAATATTGAAGCCTCATTTGGCAGCTTGCTCCCCCCCCCCCAGCCCACCTACTGCTGAAACAAACCACCTGACCTTGTGGGGGATGTGCAACCTCCTTAGACTTTTCCTTTTTTTTTTTTTTGAAAGTGAGAACTGGCCCCCAGTTGATTTGTTTCTTAACATTCCTTTCTGTTATGTCAAAAAAAAAAAAATTCTATATTCTATAGTGTTGGTCAGGAGAAACATAAGAGGAGATTTTATAGAGTGGAAACATACGACCTGCAGGTAACTTTGCCCACTGTAAGAGCTTATGGTGGGGAGTCAGACCATTGGTCTCTGTTGCCAGTGCAAAAGGGTTTTCTTATTTCACTTGTATTTTATTCAGAGAGGCAACAAGTGGAGATGATTTCAAGATGGACAGGATATTTTCAATATTTCCTAATGTCAACTCTGTCCTTAGAATTAAAGATCTCTCCAATCAAAGAAATGTTGGTATATATGACTCAGAGAAAAATCTTATTAGAGCAAGACATATTTCTATTTTACATGAGCTCCCTGCCTCTCCTTTTGAAAAGTGTTACTTGGCTTTCAGAAAGGCTCTATTTATTCTAAAATACAATTCATCAGGGGAAGCTTCAGAGCTATTGCTTATTCCAGTCAATGCATGGATGAGCTGGAAAATTCTGTGCCTTTAGAGTTGAAAAATTATGTTTTTTAAAGTGTTTTTCTTTTCTATTCAGCTTCCTGGGTGTCAATATACACTTATAAAGACAGGCATGCCTTCTTTTTCTTCAGAGAGTTAATCACCTCTAACACATAAGAATTATATATGAGTCATGTATAATAACATAGGTTTTATGGGCTGGTGTGCACAAATGTTTGCCTGGGCTACTGAACTTGGCCGTATAAACATTTAAGGAACTCACAGCTATCTTGCTGGTCTGTTTTCTTGGTTTTATTTCTGTTTGAGGAATCACCTATTTTGCTATTAGGGATATTCTATTTGTACTTGAACTTTGGATGGTTTCTTGATTCTTTGCCTTACTTAATAGTAAATGATAATATTTCCAAGTGTGTCTTAAGAACAGTCTTTATAAGACAGGGCAGTTATTATTTCCCTCTCCTTATTTTGGAACCTCAAAATGCTTCTGGTTAAATATCTACACCTGTGTGGAAGCAGCTCAGGGGTCTTGAATTCAAATTCTGGTTCTACTACATGGTTGCAGCTTTGTTAGGTTCCCTAAGCTTTAGCTTATCTGTCAACTGTGTGGAGTGACAGAATCGTATGCCTCTGTATTCACTAATAAACTGAGACCGCATGTCCCTTGCCTATCAGCCAAGCCACCCTATCATCTGACACCAAAGTGACCTTGGCATCTTATGTCTTTCTCTCTTTGGTAGGCCTGACTGCTCATGGAGATGGGAGATTCTGAGAGTTTGGGGGGAAGGTGGCTTACTGTTTTCTTTCCTCGTCTCTGAACTTTTGCTTTAGAAGAATTCATTCATTTTATGGCTCTTCTTCTTAGTCTATCATGTGGTTCTGTTCAGATTTTAAGGATTCAGATATCTTAGCATCACTTTCATTCTCCTGACTACCATGAAAGTCCACTTACACAAGGCATTTGTGTGTCTCACAGGTTTCACTTTAAGTTCGGGATTGTAGGGAACATTTGTATTCTAGTGAGGAAAATAACTTAAGTAGAATCTTAGACATCCAGAATTTCTTTGGTTATTGTCTCTAGGATATGATGCTATTCAGATCAAACACAAGCCTTGCCTTCCCTCCTCACACCCTCCCTCTCTTTCTTTAGCAAGCAGAGAATTTCGAATGTTGCAGTTTCCATGCTAGCTGCTGGTTCTGTGGTGAAAATCCAGGCTGTTGTGGCTCCTACCCTCACAAACTCATAGTTTATGAGATGCAGTAACTTATGCAGGTGTCATGCAGGGCGGTTCTCTAGACCTTTGATATTTCCCCTTAGGTAGTCTCAGTGCTTTGCTTTCCACCTAAAAATACTTTTAAGTACTTACCATGGTGCTCTATCACATAAATTCTCTGAAAATGATAAATTTTTCTATGCTTTTTTTCTTCCTGGTGCTTGTTTATAATCCAACCATGATGAAAGCTGAATATATAACTGCCTCTGGGCTACTTGACTGGAAATCTGGGAGACACAATGTTCACAGGACTCAGGGAATGCATCGATTAACCAGGTGGCAGGAATGGAAGGCTGAGATGCTCTCCTGACAACCCCGGCGGCACTGCCCTCGGCCTCCAGAGAAGGCCAGGGGTCTGGGCTCTGATCTTGGCCGTGTGAAGTTTTTCTTATATTTTAGCTCTTCAGCAGGAGTTTTCAGAAAGAAGTCTTACAATAAAATTCAAAGAAATTTTCAAAACTCAAATTGGTTGCCATGTAGTTATTAACTAGGGATATGATGATAATATGTAGGAGCCATCCTGATGACAGTACTGAAACCTGCAAGAAGGACAGATGATTATTCTTGAGCAAGAATTGGGTGTGTGAATGGTGAGAGATGTGTAGGCTCCATCGCCATATACTTCCCACCATAAACAGTTTACAGTGAAATTCCTTCATAAAAAGTGCCTTTTTTATTGTAGTATTGAAATTGAGCCTCTAAATCTCTTTTCCCTCCATTAAACACAAACGTAGGTTATTTTAGAAACAGATCCACTGCAAAGACTGTTGTATTATAGTGAAATATTCTTTTGACCATGGCAATTATTGCTTCATATGATAGCCTTGTAGTAATCTCCTAAGTGATCTTAGTGTTCCTGTTTTCTCTTTGGATCACACTATCATATTCATCTTTATGATTCTTAGAGAGTTAGAGAGGAGAGAGAGAGAGATTTTAAGGAATTGGCTCATGTGATTATGGAGACTGGCGAGTCCAATCTTTAGGATTGGCCATCAGGCTAGAGAGCTGAAGTGCTGATGCTGTAGTTCAAGTCACCTTGCCAATGGGTAGAATTTCCTTTTGCATATAGGAAATCAGTCTGTTTTCAGGTCTTCGACTGATTGGGTAATGCCCACCCACATAGGGAGGGCAATCTGTTTTGTTCAAAGTTCACTGGTTTAAGTGTTAATCTCATCTAACGCACCCTCATTTAAACATCCAGAATAATGGTTGACCACATAGGCACCACATGGCCCAGACAAGTTGGGACATCAAATTCACTATCACATTTACCTTGGTATCTACTGAAAGTCATAGATGTGAGATAAATCCTAATGAAACATTTTCAAGTATCAGACAAAAGCACAGAAGAAAATTCAATACTAACACTTTCAGAAACTAGTAGACATCAATAGAAGTCCTGAGGCTGATGAGACTAAGAGGGAGGGGAGAGAGACAGGGTCAAGGGGTCACAAGGTATGTATTTTCCCAGAATTCCTTTGTTGAGATTGCAGACTTTGTGAGCTCACGTGTGGGCTACATTCCTGTATCTTTTTACTGCTCACATTCATGTAACTAGACATGTGTAAAAGGGGAAAAGATTGCAGAGAGACTAGAACTCATGTGAAGAAGTAATGTGATTGGTAATTTGCGCATCTATTTTGCCCACGGTACATGATAAAATATGGAAATAAAATTCCCTAGAAGATTAACTTATCTTACCTTAAAACTTACTCCTTGGACTAAAGTCACAGCTATCAATCTTGGGATTAAGGTTTGCATTCATTTTCAAATTGATTTGATTAAAATGAAGGAAGAACTTGATCTCTGTGGTTGATCTTACTAAAATATTAATCCATGGGCTCTTCTTTTATCTCTACCTATAATTCTGGGAAAAGTTTGGAACATGTTTCTTTTGAAAGAGTGTGAAACTGCAGATGGCCTGAAGGCATATGTAAAGTTCTTCTGGAAACCAGAAATGGTGGAAGAGAGCAACCTTGCTTTGGTCAGGTCAGGGGAAATGGATTTAGTTCTGGTGTTGGATTCAGTTCTACGGCTTCAACAGGAAGTTGCATTGTTTGATCTCTCCAAGTCTCTGTTCCTTCACGTGTGAGATGCAACTTCAAGTTTGACTAAGGTCATGCTCATCACTGTAAAAGATCAACGGCATCCTCTCATCCTCTCAACACCACAGGACTTCAGATCCAGTCTTGAAAGGGCATTGTGAGCAATGCTTTAGAGTCAAAAGCACTTTCTATCTTTGTCCTTCTTCTAGCTTCAGCAAGTGGTTTCCAAGGTGTCCACAGAGGACCAGTGGCGTGGGACTACATGCGGAGGTTTAAGTCAGCACTCCTCAATGACGCTCACATTCCACTAACAAGTTCCCAGGCACATGGCCACACTTAAGTGCAAGGGATTGGTTCCTATTGTCTAGATGCTTGTGAAGGAGAAAAGAAACTAGACCTGGTGAGCAGGAGCCTGTGTGTGCAACACTTCCCATGTGCTTGAAAGACTAAAGAGCGTCACGTAGGAGTCTGACTCGTGG